AAAAAAACTTTAAATCTGACAAGTGTAATTTTCAGTTCTCTGACCAGAAACAACAACATACCCCATATAATCCCTCAAGTGTGGTCTGGGGAGGGTAGTGTGTACGCAGACCTTACCCCTATTCTTTCTTTCTTCTTCCTTTTTCTCTCTTTTCACCTTTTCTTGAGCCGAGGGTCTATCGGAAACAGCCTCTCATCTCCGGTAAATATGCCAAATTACACACACACACATATTTTATGTAAGAAGTTAAAGAGCGTCTCAGTGAGGTAACAACTGATAAATTTTATCACTCACTGTCGACACCTTAGAGAGAAATTAGGAAAGTTAAACTGTCTGCTGAATCGTATAGGTAATTGAAGGTCTGAATGCAAATTGTTGTCAGAGGGATGTAATGCTCACCTGCAGGATAGGTGGCTAAATATTGGTTACTGAACTGTGTTGCTGTAAAAAATGCCAATTTTTTCCTTTTATCTTCTCCTTGTTCCCTCATACCTTTGGTTTATCTTTATAGCATATAGAGTATTTTCAGCAAACAGTTCGTTGTTTATATGCATGGTTTTGTTTTGTATTGGAGATTAGTTAAAGAGTTAATCTTTGTACGCGTGAAAAAACCTAGAATGCGATCCATGGTGGTATCTTCTACTTTACAATACAGAAGAAAGATGATATTTCATGTAGCCGATGGTTATGAGGTCATTTAGTTTTATGTGGTCATGATAGCTCTTTTTGCCTCCAAAATCGTTTCACATCTGTCCCTTTGCAGGTTGTACCCAACACACGGAGCAGAAGTCAGATGGGTGAGACGACTGATGGTGGTCTATATGAAATTTTCCAACAGGACTATGGGCCTGTCGGCTCTCCTGGCTTTGAAGCTGCTCGTGAGAATTTCATCATAAGCAGTGCAGGTTATGCAGTTGCCAGCTTGTTGCTTCAGCCTAAGGATAGACATAATGGGAACCTTCTGATTGACAGGTAAGACCTTTGTCTTCTGTTGTTAAGTTTCATAATGCCAATGGTTGTGAAATTACACTTTATGTAAGTCAGGTTTTGTGTTACTTAAGATGCAGAGGCTTCTAAAATATCGTCATGTCATGGTGGAAATGTTTCAAATTGTTTAAACAGTTGAAGTGCATAAGCTAAGGGGAGATAGAAATATGCACAATATTGGATAGCTGCTGTTAAATGTGTTTGGAAGCGTCTGAAAGTGATTTTTTAAAATAAGTTTTTATATGTTTCCTCACCACCATGCTTTCCAGCTTAGATTGATGATGTGTCATAAAGTAGGCTCCTTTTTCAGATCTGATTTGAAGACCTTGTATGTCGTGTTAGATTAGTCTATGGTAAGATGGCTGACACACATCAATGATGCTGAATGATAATGTGCAATATGCACACCAATAGATGACTATTCTGCTTATAAATTATATACTACTAAAGATTGGCCATATACTTGCTGTTGCCGTGTGATATTTGCATTTAGCAATGTCAACTAAGAGACTCAAGGAAACAGTATTGTTCATAAGGCAAGTTCAACTAGTCTTCTATTGTATATAGATGGCTAGTGAGTTCATTGTTCGAGCTCATGGTGGACTCAATTGGTTAGTTAACAGGAAAGGTGGTATTAATTGAGTCTTTTAACATACCAAGAACCTAACGATGAGAAGTAACTTCACTTCATAGCTGTGCATTCCTTTTCGAAATGCTGTTTCCACGTGGGGCGGTGCATATTTTTTGTGGAGTTCATGAAGATGGACATATACTTTTGGACACTCCAAAGAAGTCTGGAAACTCCAAGGAAGTAAATACATTATTCTGGGACTGGGATAAATAGATATCTTTTCAAGCTTGTCAATATTGGCCGGGTAATGTTGACTCATCATCTGATGAATTCCTTTTTATATTTGTTCTGCAGTGCTGGTCGGCTTGTCCATATTGATTTTGGTTTTATCCTGGAAATTTCTCCTGGTGGAAATATGCGATTTGAAAGTGCTCACTTCAAGCTGAGTCATGAGATGACCCAATTAATTGACCCATCTGGAGCAATGAAAAGTGAGACGTGGTACCAGTTTGTAAGGTCAGTGGTCTTCGTTGGGCTAATTGCTCTGTCTTATTATGTATGAATTACTTTTTTCTTATGCTAAGGCTCGATTGATTGTTTTCCAGCTTGTGTGTCAAGGGTTACCTTGCTGCACGTCGCCACATGGATGGGATAATAAATACAGTTTCGATGATGCTGGATAGCGGATTGCCTTGCTTTAGCAGGGGTGACCCCATAGGAAATCTTAGAAAGAGATTTCACCCTGAGATGAGTGAGCGTGAAGCAGCCAATTACATGATTCGTGCATGTAGTGATGCGTACAACAAGTGGACTACGGCCGGATATGATTTGATACAATATATGCAGCAGGGCATCGAAAAGTGAGGGAGTTGCTGCAGAGTTTCACAGAAACTGTATATTTTGTTCTTGTAATCTATGAAAATGTAAATGTCTATATCACATAGGTGTAATTCTTTTTAGAGTGGGGTAGAAGCGTGAAGCTGCAAGTGATCCTTAAGTTAAATTGAACGAAGAATTGCAGAGATGAGTTGCTTGTAAAAATTTTGGGTTTAATAGTTATGCACTAATCAGCGTGTAAAAGCTAGCTAAAGACATATTGTCTATAATTAGTTGAGCGTCAGTTGTTGGAAAATAGCTACTTAACCTAGTATAATCAGTTAAATTACACTGATGAGTGAAAAATCTACAATTGACATCCAACGGGTTTTGAACTGTTCATATTAATTTGTTTATTCAATCTTGCACTTAAATTATTCTATTGCGTAGCTAACCGTAGAATACCATCTATGAATTTATAGTTGAACTCGAAAGTGGGAATTATAGATTGCATATAAGATTGAGTAGAGTAAGTTCTTGAATCTGGGCATCAGAGAATAGATTCGCGATTAGGATTATAATTCCCAACTATGCAGGAGGGAGGCGGAAGCAAGAGCAAGAACTGCATAGTTGGGAATCGTAGTCCAATCACAGCCAATCGAGATGGCAGAGAATGACGAGAGACCAGGATTGAGGCCGCAAGTCCTAGTCTCGCAAACATGACTCAGGTTGTCGTGAAGCCTGGCATAACTGGTCACTTTAAGCTGAAATAGTACATGGTGCAGCTAATTCAATCCACATGGCAATTTGTGGGTTTATCGAGTGAAGATCCGCAAAGGCACATACAAATTATTTTGGAGATTACGGATACATACAACTATCCGAACGTCTCCAAGGACTATGTCAGACTGACCTTGATTCCCTTTTCTTTGTTGGAGGAAGCAAATGAATGGTTGAACAAAGAGCCAACAAACTCAATCCGCACTTGGGATGGTCTAGCACAAAAATTCCTAATCAAATTCTTTCCCACAAAGAAAACAAAGTCACTAAGAAGCCAACTTTTGGGGTTTCAACAAAAAGATGGCGAGACTCTACGTCAAGTCTGGGAGGGATATAAAAAGCTACTCAGAGATTGTTCGCATCACTGTCAAATTGATGAAGTGTTGGTTCATAATTTTGTCGATGGGTTGGACGAGACCTCCAAATTGAATCTAGACTCAGCTTGTGAAAGTAGTTGCATGCAAAAGTCATACAGTGAGATTCAGACCCTACTAAACATCACCGCAAACGATCATAACTGTCAAGGTGAGGATGAACCACGAAGAATGATAAAACAAAGAGCATCATGTACAATTGAGCTTGATGAATTTTCAGCCACGAGAGCAGATATAACGAAGTTACCCGAACCAAAATGCACAATATGGAAACACTTATAATCCCAACTGGAGGAATCACTCGAACTTCTCATGGGGTGGAAATCAGATTATTCAAAATCAATACAGACCCCAAGGAAATTACAATCAGCCCCAAAAGCCACCACAACAGGTAGAAGAAAGCACCAATGATTTGATGAAAAAGTTGTTAATTGACAACCAGCTGAGGACTGATTTTCAAAATTTAGACAGGCAGATTGGGCAGTTGGATGCACAGCAAAATATCCGACCTGCAGGGGCTCTCCCAAATGATACTAAGAAGAATCCCATCGAACAAGTGCAAAAAATTAATCTAAGAAATGGGAGAACATTGGAGGATGTGCCACCTAAAAAGTATACACCTAAAGAAGTTTTGAAAGATTGGTACCTAAACCGGAGGTAGAAGCTAAAAAAATAGATGATGAACACAGACAAGAGATAGAGGTAAGTCCACCACCGCCTTTTCCTCAAAGGTTGTAGAAATCGAAAGATGATTCCAAGTACAAAAGTTTTTAGATATCGTGAGCTAGGTGCGTGTGAATCTACCTTTGGTTGAAGTGTTACAAGAAGTTCCTAAATATGCCAAGTACTTGAGAGACATTATGGCCAATAAAAGAAGTTTGATAGAGTTTGAAACGGTTTGTCACGAATCAAAATCCACCTAGTCATGCTGTCACCTAACCCTAGAGTTAGGTAAACCAAACATAGAACAAAGTTGAATTCTATACAACCTCCCAAGGACTGGTAGTACAAGTCATGAGCCACATTGATCTAGATTTACAAAGTTGATATGAAGGATAAATACAATATCTGTTTGAAATTTACATAAATAGAATTTGAAATCCTAAACTACCATGATCAAGAGGTAGCTTGAATCTGGAATGCAGGTACGTCTTCAATGCAACGCTTTGTCTTCCACAGCTACGCAACTCGAAGATCTGCATGCAAAATGCAGAAGTGTAGTATGAGTACAAATGACCTCATGTACTCGGTAAGTATCTTGACTAACCTCGGTGAAGTAGTAACGAGATTTTGAGTTACAAGATACTCACTTATTATATTTTTACATGTGCAGTTGATAAGTAGAAAGAGCAATACGAGATAAAGAAACGAATAACCACGTAATGGATGAAGCAAGAATATGATTGACAGAGGGTCCCATAATATCATCACAACTCAGTTTAACAACACAATATGGTTAGGGAAACCAACAACCAAGAATAACCATAGTACAACTTTTCCATTGCGGTGCGCAACCCGACCCACATATATAAATTTTCAATACCGTTGCAGCGTATAACCCGATCCCATATGTATAATATCAATACTGTTGCAGTGTGCAACCCCATCCCATATATAATATCAATACCGTTGAGACATGTAACCCAATCCCAAAAATTTAAATAAGTTCATACAAAGCTATTCTACGACGACCAAGCACGAGAAGTTTACAACGTAACACCAAGGAAACTAACATGCGAAGTTCAACTAGGAATACAAACTCAAACAAAGTAGATGAGCAACACCGCACCCCAAAGCTAGTCTCCCACATATAAAGACAAATCTCCCACAAAGCATAAACACACAACCAATCTAAAAGTTATCCAAACCGGGTAAGCAAAGAAGTGTAAAACATGAAGCGAGGAAGGAGGTACGCCAAATAAAAATTGGTATCAAGTAGAGGTGTGTAAGAAGTGAAATCATGTAACATGTAGAGATATATAGCAGGTAAAGGCATATAACATGTGAATGCAGGTAGTAAGAGAAGACATGTAACAAGTCAAGACATCTAATAAGTAAATCACGTAACAAATAGAGGCATGTGACATGTACGGGCTAATAGCAACTAAAGGCATGAATTCGAGGAGAACATGTAGCAGAAGTAAATCAAGTAAAAGCGTAAGAGTAACCGGAACAAATAAGGTCGAATCAATGATATAACAGTATTAGGCCAAATATGAAACACAAAGGCAATTACATAAGGGACACAAACATGGAAGTAACATACAAAATAGCAAACAATAATAGAAACCAAAGTTGAGGGCATGTAAATGTTTAACGAACGAGTAATCATTACAAAAATCCAACTCCCATTCTTCTCACACGGTAACGACCAACCAACCTATCTTATTTCACACTGCACGACGATACTCATCATGCCAAACATAGCCCTAGGGCCCCAATTCTCATCTCTTATTACGAATAAAGAAGCTCAAGTAGCTTAACAATAACATGTATAAATAAACGTTCATGATGCTACGGTCTAATTAAGCCTGTAAATGGTCTCAGAAAAACAGCACATTAAATCCTTTCAAGATGTCATATGTTCTAACACATATAATTGAATGTATTAGTCATATAATTAATTGAAGCATAAGATAAGGAATCACCAAGTTCAACAAGGCACAAAGAAATATATAATTTCTCCCTCCTGAGCATGGAAATCCTAGTACATGCATACACGCCACCTCGTATATATATGACCCCCACATGTAACAAACATTATTATTTAGTAGAAAAAATTCCCTCAACAAAGTTACACAAGACACTTACCTTAAAAAGCCATAACAATACTCTAAAATGCCATCCCACATGAATCGACATCCCAACAACTCAAATCTAACCAAAATCAACTCAAAAACATTAAATAATGCAATAGAAAACAAACCAAACGATAAAGGTCGAATCTTTAATCAAATACTAAAGTCAACCAAAAGGTTAACCCGAGCCCGCATCTCGAAACCCAAAAACTCACAAATTCTGACAGCCCATTCAAATACGAGCCCAACCATATTAGTTTCACTCAAATCCGACTCCAAATTGATGTTCAAAATCCAATTATTCACTTTAGAAAAGTTTAGCCAAAACCCCCAATTTCTCTTTTAGACTCCTCAATCAAATGCCAAAATCAAAGATAAATTCATGTATAATAATCAAATGCGAGTCAAAAATATTTACCTCAGCCCAAATGGTGAAAATCTCTTCAAATATCGCCCAAATCCGAGCTTCCAATCTCAAAATGTAATAAAATGACTCAAACCCTTAAAATGGAGTACTTAAAATATCTTCCCCGTGATACCTATCGCGATCACGGAATATCCATCATGATCGCGAAGTACAAATTAGCACTATCCAATAAAAAGCCCTACGCAATCGTGTCTGTGCCCCGCGATCATGATAACCACTAAACCATAGAAGCGCGAATGTAAGCTTATACCGCGAACGCGAAGGCCAACGAGCCACTACCTCCAGCAACACTCCGTGATCATGAACTTCCAAGTGCGAACGCGAAAGCTAGCTTTACTACCTTACACGAAAGCGAGACCACTCCGCGAATGCAACGAACAGATCAGCCAGCTGCCCCACAACCCTATACGCGATCGCGAATCTCCTCCCGTAATCGCGAATCACAATAGATGCACCAGAAACCAGCAACACATAAACCATCCGAAATGATCCGAAACCATTTCGAATCTCACCTGAGGCTCTCAGAACCCCGTCCAATCATACAAACAAGTACATAATCCTCATATGAACTTGCTCGCATGCTTGCATCATAAAAATAACATGAAAAACCACGATTCATACACCAAAACATATCAAAATCACAATGAAACTCAAGAACTTCCAAAAATCGCAACCAAGTATCCGATTCCCATCAAACCAACTCGGAATGAGACCAAATTTTACACACTAGTCACAAATGACACAATGAACCTATTACAACTCCCAGAAAAATAATCTGAACCTTATAACATCAAAGTCAACTCCCGTTCAAACCTATGAACTTTCCAAACCTTTAAATTGTCGATTTTCGCCAAATAGAGCCAAAACCTTCTTAAAATATCAAAATGCAAGTCCGGGCATACGCCCAAGTCCAAAATCACCACCCCGACCTAATAGAAAGCATCAAAACTCCAATCCGAGGTCAAATACGCACAAGTCAAACTTGGTCAACTCTCCCAACTTAAAGCTTCTAAAATGAGAATC